CCTCCACTCCCCGCCCGCCGCCTCCTCCCCTTCCTCGCCCTCTTCCTCCAGACTCCCTTGTCCATCAAGCACCAAGAAGGGGGCTCGTGCCCATTTGGGAGTGATGACTCCTTGAAGAGACACACCGAGGCAGAGACAGCTAGCGTTAGGGTCTGCGCGGGTGCTAGGGAAACTCCGGAAGACTTGGTCGGGATAACGTGAGAGCGGGTAGTGTTCGACTTTTTTAAAAAACAAAACACAGCATTTTTTAACCTCTTCTCCCTTTTGGGGGAGGGCAGGATTTTCTGCCCTACCACCCACCCATCAAATCTGCATACCCCTTACAGCCACGCACCTCCAGTGGCATCGAGCACACAGCTGGAGCCTTCTGCTCACCAAAACGCACACCTCCCGGTGGCAGGAGAGCCAGAGAGGGACAGACAGATGACAGGGCACATCCGAAAGAAGAGCACACAGCACAAAGGAATCTGCCCCCTTCCCACCTCCAGGGCTGGGGGCCTTTGGCACCTCAGTCCCCGATCCCCTACTCCTTCCTGCCCGAACCTCCTTGCACCCGTCGGAACCTCGGTTGATGAGAGCCGGCATCAGAGAAGCACCGTGGCGCGACGCGGGAATGCGGACGGCACCCGGCGGTGGATGGCGGCAGCGGAGGCCGCGGGGAAAACCTGACCAGGAAGCTGAGGACCAAACCAGCCTCTTTTTCTGTTCCCGGTTTTTTGTTTTTTTTTTTTTCCTGGATCCAACGCGTGCTGTGCCCTCTTTCCCCCATATGTGTTTGGGGAAGGGGGTCCTGAGTGGGGTGGTGGATTTTTTTTTTCTTTGAAATGATTTTTCCCTGATGTTCAGAGGAGAGGGAAGTGGGAAAGGTGAAGTGGATGGCTCCCCTTGGATGTAGCCAGGTGGGTGCCAGGGGCCAGGCCAGGCAGAGCCCATCGCAAGAGCAGTGGAGTGGGTTTCTCCCCTCCCTGTGCGCCCCTTCCCATGGGATGGCTCACTCTGGAGCTGTATTTGGCGATGGGATCAGATCTGAAGGCAGTCATGGGGCTTTCCCTTCTGCCTTGACAGCCTGTCTTCAGGGATCACATTTCTGTTTTTTACCCCTTGAAACACACTTAACTTCCATCCTGGTCTCTGGGTTCCTCCCCAGCATAGTGTGAAGAATTAGGACAGGGCAGTTGGGCTTTGCATTAGTGTCAGTTTCTGTCTTTTAATGCTACTTAACTCCCTTCAAGGGTTGTGCTTTTTAGTTTTTAAGAGGGAACTGTGTGTCTACTGCTCTGAATTTGTTTTTTTTTAGCACCAGTCACTGATGCCTTCCATGTAAGCCTGTAGGGGATTTGACCTTAGTTCTGAGGTCAGTTTCATCTGAAACTATTCCCTTGTGAAATGAGGCAAGTTATTACCTTGAGTGATTTTTGCTTCTCCTTAAATGGCATTTTGACTGCGTGCCTTGCATTATTCCAATCTTAAAGATACCCAAGTGCCTTATGTGCATCAGAGTGCCTAAGCCGAGAGAAAACTCAAACGGAGCAGTCCTTGTCCTCTGCCTTGTGTCCTTAAAGCCAGCTCCGAGGGTTCTTCTCACCTCGAGTCACTGTTTCCCATCATTTCCCAGGTGTGTGGGTCATGTCTCCTTGAGAACAGCTCCCATTTTTCCTCCACCACCTCGGTTTGAGGTAATGGCGTCTTGCCATTGGGTGGTTTTGTTGCTCCTTTACTCCCTTTGCAAACTTACTTTCCCATGCCAATTTTCAGTTGGGTAGTTTTAAGATGAACTCAACTGACAGGAAGGAACTTGGGTCTAATGTGAAAGAGACCACAGTAAAACGGGTATTTTTGGGGGGATGTGGTGGGGTTTTCAATCTTCTCTCTTTTCCCCATCCCCCCATGGGGTGTATTGGAGATCAGCTTCCTCCACCCCCCCAGGTTTAACCCCCCCACTCTGCCCTCCTCCCGTTCCCTACCCCCTTCCTCCCCCCCAGCCAATGGAGATCTTCGTGGATGATGAGACGAAGTTGACGCTGCATGGGTTGCAGCAGTACTACGTGAAACTGAAGGACAACGAGAAGAACCGGAAGCTCTTTGACCTTCTAGATGTCCTTGAGTTCAACCAGGTCAGTTGTTAGAAGACCAGCAGGAGAATGAACTTTGGATACATTTCCAGCTGTAGCAGACACCTGTGTATTAAAGTAGCCCTCATCGAAGAAACCACCTAAGTGGTGTGGGGAGAAGTAGAGAGGCAGCTTTTAAAGATTTGTTTATTTTTATTGGAAAGGCAGATACAGAGAGAGGAAAGATCTTCCGTCTGCTAATTCACTCCCCAAGCAGCTGCAACAGCCAGAGCAGAGCCAATCCAAAGCCAGGAGCTTCGTCTGGGTCTCCCATGTGGGTGCTGGATTCCAGGGCTTTGGGTTATTCTCTACTGCTTTCCCAGGCCACAAGCATGGAGCAGCCAGGATCTGGGATTCTAACCTACACCCATATGAGATTCGAAGCATGTAAGGCCAGGACTGTAGCCACTAGGCTAACACGATGGGCCCCTGGAGGCATCTTTATAATGAGATTGTCTTCAGTGACTGAGGGAAGGGATGGTGTTTCTGTCCTTTATGGGTGTTGATTACAAATGAAAAGCCTTAAGTGAAATGGGCCTGTAAAAATACAGTCCTTTAAAGAGCTGCAGTGAGTTTTTAGAGCTCTGGATATTTAGTTTTGACATTTGAAGGTTTATTTGAAAGGCAGATTTGCAGAGGGAGGAGAGACCGAGATCTGATTCATTCCTCTGGTGTGTGCAGTGGCCAGAGCTGGTCTGAAGGCAGGAGCCTGGAAGTGCTTCTGGGTCTCATGTGGATGCAGAGGCCCAAGAGCTTGCCAGTTTTGCAGCTTTCCCAGGCAAATTAGGAAGGAGTTGGGTTGGCATTGGAGCAGCTGGGACTCAAACCGGCTCCTACATAGCATGCCTACTCTGCAGGTGGAGGCCCACATACTATACTACCACATCCCACAACCACAGGTTTCTTATCAGTTACTCATAGTAAGCGGGGAGCACTCTTTCATCTCACTGTTGTGATCTGCTGGCACACAAATCTTTCTGGACTTAACTTTTTTTTTTAATTGGAAAGGCAGATTTACAGAGAGAAGGAGAGAGATCTTTTGTCCACTTGTTTACTCCCCAAGTGGCTGCAACGGACAGAGCTGAGCGAGCTGAAGCAGAAGCTTCTTTGGGGTCTTACACGTGGTTGCAGGGTCCCAAGACTTTGGGTCATCCTCTACTGCTTTCCCAGGCCACAAGCAGGAAGCAGCCAGAATATCAATAGGCACCCATCTGAGGCCAGGATTTAGCCACTAGGCTATCATGTCAGGCCCTGGAATATCAGTCTTAAACCCTGATTTTATGACTTGGGATTCCTTGAGGTAGCTGACTTGTTGGCCCGTTGTCTGATGCTTTTGGTGATTATTCTCTGCCCTCAGGTGGCAGGGAGGAGGAGGGCTTTGGGAAGTGAAGTTACAGAGAATTCATGAGTAGTTTCTCATGCACCTTGGACCACACCCCCACCCCCCTGGCTCACCCCCACGCACACAGGTGGTGATCTTTGTGAAGTCTGTGCAGCGGTGCATTGCCCTGGCCCAGCTCCTAGTGGAGCAGAACTTCCCAGCCATTGCCATCCACCGTGGGATGCCCCAGGAAGAAAGGTGAGTTAGAGATGGAGGTGTCCTCGGGAGGAACAGCACCTTCTGAGAGGAGGGACTCTCAACATTTTTATTTCCTTTCTCACAAAGGCTTTCTCGGTATCAGCAGTTTAAAGATTTTCAACGACGAATTCTTGTGGCTACCAACCTGTTTGGTCGAGGTATGGACATAGAGCGGGTGAACATCGCCTTTAACTATGACATGCCTGAGGATTCTGACACCTACCTGCATCGGGTAAGCTGTGCCCCCGGAAGCACAGCCCCTTTCCTGTGCTACCAGTGCACTGTTAGAGTGCCTATTGCTCCCTCTGGGTCTTTCCCCCTTGTTTGGATCCTATAATCCTATATATAACATATAGTCTTATATATATATATATATTTTTAATCTTCCAGGTGGCCAGAGCAGGCCGGTTCGGTACCAAGGGTTTAGCCATCACGTTTGTGTCAGACGAGAATGATGCAAAAATCCTCAATGACGTACAGGATCGATTTGAAGTCAACATTAGTGAGCTGCCTGATGAGATAGACATCTCCTCCTACAGTGAGTAATGTGGCTTCCCCCAGCTTTGGGATTCCCTTGAAGAATTGTCTTAAATCCCACTGTGCATCTGCAGAGCGCCCCGGCCACTTCTTCCTGTCTGGTCTCTGGTGCCATGATAGGGTCGGGTTACTGTGACGTCTATGTGTGGTCTCTTCTATCAAATTCTTTCTTCACTTAAGCCTTAAAATCCATGCTGCATAGTGTGCAGATACCTGCTTGTGCATAGAGGTCTTCAAAAAGTTTGGGAAAATGCACATTAAGAAAAAACTACCTGAATTTCAAAACATTTTGCACCCAAATAAAGCTGCCTTTTTTTTTTTTTTTGTCATAAACTTTGAAGTACTCTTACATGTGCATGTAATGTTGGCGCCCTGCCTTTCTATGCCCTGCTCTGATGCCCAGTTTCTCTCAGTTGAACAGACACGGTAGAGGATTCGCCTGTTCTGCAATGTGAGCGTCTTCTGGAGGATACCAGGCGTGGGGGTGAAGGAGACACTACTGCCGCCTGCCCTGCCAGCCCCCACCCCGCACCCGAGCTTCCCTCTTTTGCATCACCACCACTCCTAACCCCCGAATCCGGATTTGTCAGATTTTTTTTTAACAAAACTAAAAACGAAACACATTTGTGTCTGTGTTGTCTGTAAGCACTCCCTCCATTTATTGGGTCTGAAGTGTAGGGCACGAGGTGGTAAGTTGGGATGTGGACTTTGCGATTCTCCCCGGGAGCCTTGGTCAGCGCTGACTGCCAAGGCTATGTCTCAGGTGGCCTGGTTCACCTCATGGCACGGGAGGGCTGCTGGGGTGGTGTGTGGGCTCTCCAATGTTGGAGGTTGAAGAGGAACTGGCTCAGGTGTCTTCTCCCAGGCTTTCTCACTGTCATTTCCTTCAGCCTCTGGATCATGAACACCAGGGCCTGGCCTGCCACGCCCCTTCCCGCCCTACAACTAGAGCTTGGTGCAACTCCAGCAACAGTGTGCACTAGGTCAGCTGCATGGTGGCAGTTGGGCAAGTTAGGAACCCCACAAGCTCCCTTTGGAGTTTTGGAAGGACAGATATCGGAGAAGAGAGACAAAGATCTGTTGGTACACCCCCTCAAAGGTCAGAGCTGAGCTGATCTCATGGGTTTCCCATGCAGGTGCAGGGAGCCAGGTGGGAAGTGGAGCAGCCGGGTTGGCACCTGCTCTGGGCCCCCAAGTTTAAAGCAAAGCAAATCTGCGCTGCTGGCTCACTGCCCAAATGGATACAATAGTCTGGAGCCTCTCCCCATCCTGGACATGCTTGGAAGCTGGATGGGAAGTTGAAGCCCCTGGGATTTGAACTGGCTTTGTGCTTTGATGCTCTTGTGTGAGCTGTGGCTTGGCTTGCTTCGTCCCGAGTCCCATTAGTTCAAGCCCATCTGTGTGGAGGTGGTAAGGCAGCAGTTCACTGTTTGAGACGTTGGTGTCTGAAAGTCATTGGCCTGGGGATTGTAACTGGATTTCATTTATGGGACTATTTCCGCCCTGTAAGGAATAACTGAATGAGGGAAGATTACTAAAGGACTTGTGGACTGCGGCTATGGAGGGGAGGGATCCCCGAGGTCTAAATGGACATGATGGACAGGACTGGGGAACTGTAGGGTGCGCTGAGACCGATCCCTTCCGTGCTCTCTGTCCCCATGCTTTGTGCTACTCAGCCTGTGTAATGACTTCCCGCTGTGTATGGAGCTGGTCTGTTCTTCCCGTGTTGGTTTAGGATTCTGGGAGCAGTGCCCTGGGGACCCTGGGATGCCAAGGACCAGGAGGGCAGGAAGAGGTGAAGGCAGCAGCAAGAGCCAGGGCTGAGGGAGGACCATGGCGGGTGAGGAGGGAGCAGTCTGAGCTGCCCAGAAACCACTGCTTCCAGGCCTTGGCCTCATTGCCCACTACTGCCTGCTCTGCTGTGCCCACTTTCTTCCCAGCCTGGCCCCAGCCAGAGTCCAAGAATATTTTTCCCAGTGTGGTGTTCGCTAGTTTAAGCAGGACTGGCTAAAATGCTGGTATGCATGTAGGCTGCAGTCTTTTTCCTAACACCATGTTTTTTTTTTTTTTAAGATTAATTTTTATTATTTATTTATTGGAAAGGCGGATATACAGAGAGGAGAGACAGAGAGGAAGATCTTCCGTCCGATGATTCACTCCCCAAGTGAGCGCAACGGCTGATGCTATGCTGATCTGAAGCCAGGAGCCTCTTCCAGGTCTCCCACGCGGGTGCAGGGTCCCAAAGCTTTGGGCGGTCCTTGACTGCTTTCTCAGGCCACAGGCAGGGAGCTGGAAGGGAAGCGGGGCTGCCGGGATTAGAACTGGCGCCCATATGGGACCCAGGCGTGCTAGGCGAGGACCTTAACCACTGTGCCACCGCGTCGGGCCCACCATATTTCAAGGTGGAGATTAATTGATGCTTTGCAGATGGAGAGTCTAGCTTGGTGGTTTCGCTTCACTCAGAGTGGGCAAGTACCTGCTGGGCCACCTTGGCCAGGTGTGCTTGAGGCTCTCGGCTAGTGGGTGGAAGAACTGGAGGGATGGGCTGGGGTTGCGCTTGGGTTAACCTGCCTTGGGAGCTCATCCTCAACCTGGATTGACGACTGGCTGCCCCTGTGCATCTCTTTTTGTCCCCTGCTGGCCCAGAATGACTCCTCCTCTCCCGTCCATTTTGCATTGTGTGGTGGAGTGGAGATGTTCCCAGCTTCGTGTCCCTTGCACCTGCGGCTCCTGGCTGACTGACACTGGTCTGCATGTGAGGTGTTGCTGAGCCCCTTCACAGCTGTACGGGAGCAGAAGTCCCACTGTCGTCACACTTTGTGTCTGGCTTTGGGCTTCCTGCCGTGTGTCAGGAAGTGGTGTGGGCAGCCATGTGGGCAAAGCTGGCTGAGAAGAACACAGAGGGTCTCCATTTGTGTCCTCCAAGAAGAGGAGGGTTCCCAGGCAGGAAAGCCTGCTGCAGAGGCAGGATTGCAGGAGTGGACAGCTGTCTGGCCAGGGAGGGAAGTCGGAGCCAGCAGGGAGCCCTTGGTGGAGGTCAGAGGTTGCAGTCTTGGGAGAGGAGTGAGACACCTTTGGATGGGCTCAAAATTGTTCTAGTAGCTCCCAGTTCTCTGCAGTGGAGAAAAGGAAAAAATTGACAATCTGTGAGTGTTTTAGAGGAGAGTGGCTTCCTGCGTGTCCCTTAGAACCAAGGTCAGCATGGCCCACAGTTACCTAAGTCTTTATTTCTCTCTTGCATAAAAAGGTTAGTGTGCACAGCATTAAAAAAAAAAAAAAGATTATTTTTATTGGAAAGGCAAATGTATAGAGGGGAGACAGAAAGGTGTTCCATCTACAATCCAATCCCTAAGTGGCCTCAATGGCTGAAACTAGGCTGATCTGAAACCAGGAGCCAGGGGCTTCTTTCAGATCTCCAACACTGGTGCAGGGTCCCAAGCCTTTGGGCTATCCCCTGCTGCTCTCCAAGGCTTAAAGCAGGGAGCTGGCTGGGAAGTAGAGTATCTGGGACACCGATTTGTGACCATATGGGATCCCAGCAGATACAAAGTGAAAAATTTAGCCACTAGGCTATTACGTCAAGCACTATTTTTATTTATTTATTTATTAGTTGGAAAGGCTGATATACAGAAAGGAGGAAAGACAGAGAGGAAGATCTTCCAACTGAGGGTTCACTCCCCAAGGGGCCACAATGGCTGGAGCTGCGTCAATGTGAAGCCAGGAGCCAGGAGTTTGTTTCAGATATCCAATGTGGATACAGGGTCCAAGTCTTTGGGCCATCCTTGACTGCCTTCCCAGGCCACAAGCAGGAAGCTGAATGGGAAGTGGAGCTGCTGGGATTAGAATCAGCACCCATATCGGATCCCGGTGTGTGCCATGAAAGGACTTTAGCCACTAGACTACTGTACTGGGCCCTTATTTCACTTCTTAAAAATTATAGCTATCTTGGCCCCCAAGGCTAATGTCTGTGCTTTGCACACACTAATCCCGGCAGCCCCGTTTCTCATCCAGCTCCCTGCTTGTGGCCTGGGAAAGCAGTTGAGGACAGTCCAAAACCTTGGGACTCTGCACCCTCGTGGAAGACCCAGAAGAATCTACTGGCTTTGGATTGGCTCAGTTCTGGCTGTTATGGCCACTTGTGGAGTGAATTATTGGACAGAAGATCTACCTCTCTGTTTCTTCTCCTCTTTCTATATCTGACTTTCCAATAAAAGTCAGATATTAATCTTTAAAAATGTTACAGCCATGTCTCAAGTCTCTTTAAGAATATTCAATTACTGGGCCCAGCGAGACAGCATAGTGGCTAAAGTCCTTGCCTTGAATACGCCAGGATCCCATATGGGCGCTGGTTCTAATCCCAGAGGCCCCACTTCCCATCCAGTTCCCTGCTTGTGGTCTGGGAGAGCAGTCAATGATGGCCCGAAGCTTTGGGACCCTGCACCTGTGTGGGAGACCTGGAAGAAGTTCCTGTCTCCTGGCTTTGGATTGTCCCAGCTTCAGCTGTTGTGGCCGCTTGGGGAGTGAACAATCAGGTAGAAGATCTTCCTCTCTGTCTCTACTACTCTCTGTATGTCTGCCTTTCCAATAAAAACAAATCTTTAAAAAAATAATGAATCTTTTATCTCATGGCTTACTCCCCTTATGGACAATGGTCAGGAGTGGGCCAGTCTATTCCAAACTCAGAACTCCCTCTGGGCCTCCCACATGGAAGGGAGGCACCCAAGTAACTGGCTGTTTCCCACTGCTCTCCCAGGTACGTTAGCAGGGAGCTGGACTGGAAGCAGAGTATCCAGAACTCTGATATGGGAAGCAATGTTTCAGGTAGTGGCTTAATCTACTGTGATGGCAGCCCCTCTCTGTGTTTAGAAGTTTACTGAATGCTGAGCCCAGTGAGGTGGCCTAGCAGCCAAAGTCCTCATCTTGATCGCGCCGGGATCCTATATATGTGCCGGTTCTAATCCCGGCAGCCCCATTTCCCATCCAGCTCCCTGCTTGTGGCCTGGGAAAGCAGTGGAGGACGGCCCAAAGCTTTGGGACCATGCACACACATGGTAGACCTGGAGGAAGCTCCAGGCTCCTGGCTTTGAATCAGCGCAGCACAGGCCGTTTCAGTCACTTGGGGAGTGAATCATTGGACGGGAGATATTTCTCTGTCTCTCCTCCTGTCTGTATGTCTGACTTTGCATTAAAAATAAAATAAATCTTTAAAAAAAAGTGTACTGAATTTTCTTATAACAGCCATTGCCTGTATGGGATCCCAGTGTAAGCAAAGCAAGGATTTTAGCCACTGAGCCACTGTGCCAGGCCCTAGGTGATTGGTTTCTGGCACCTGATTTTGTTCCTTGGTGACGTCATGGTTTCCTGAAAGTTCTTTAAGTTTGCCTACCTGTCACTTCTGCACACTGTTCATCTTCACACTTTTGGTGTGAGGCTGTCCCCTCCAGAAACTCAAAGCCTCTGCCAATTTTCTCAGCGCCTGTGGACACTTCACTTATTTTAACACTAGATGGAGCCCTCGGCCAGGGTTTGTTGCAAGTCTACATTGGGCGTTTTGTTACAATTTCCTTCCCAGAGTAGGTTGCTGCTAGGTCAGCTTTGTCTCCAACACACAAGTTTTTGTGAACTTTTATTTATAGTGGAAAGTCTGATAACCAGAGGGGAGCAGAGACAGAGAGGAAGATCTTCTGTCCAATAATTCACTCCCTAAGTGGACAGAGCTGTACCGATTTGAAGCCAGGAGCCTGGAGCCTCTTCTGGGTCCCAAGGACTTGGACCATCCTCAACTGCTTTCCCAGGCCACAAGCAGGGAGCTGGATGGAAAGTGGAGCCACTGGGATTAGAACCAATGCCCATATGGGATCCCGGCACATGCAAGGCGAGGACTTTAGCCACTAGGCTACCGTGTCAGGCCCACAAATAAAACACACACTAAAAGCTATTTATTTGAAAGGAAGTGTAAGGGAGTGAACAGCAAAATCATTTTTCCATCTGCTGGCTACTTCCTAAATGCCTGCTACAGCCACCTCTGTGCCAGGCTGGGAGAGGACAGCCTCCCACGTGGGTGCAGGAACCCGTCCTGTTGCTTTCTGTTGCTTTCCCTGGTTCATTAGCAAAATCTGGATTGGAAGAGGAGGAACAAGGGCTCACCCACGTGGAACATGGGTGTCCCACATGGCAGCATAACCCAGCTGGATTTAAGGTTGAGGAAAAGTGTCCAAGGCTCAGCAGAGATATGCACATGTCTGTATATATTGCATGGCAAGGTTTTCTCTTGGCGTTTCAAGTTGCGATGAGATCCTGATTAAACATGCAAAGGAGAGTCAGGCTGTACTCTGCAGGACCCAAAGATTTTTCTTATTTTTGTTGGAAAGACAGATTTACACAGAGAAGGACATACAGAGCAGAAGATCTAATGGTTCAACCCCCAAGTGGCTGCAACCTGCAGAGCAAAGCCAAGAGCCAGGATCCAGGATCCAGGAGCTTCTTCTGGGTCTCCCACACAGGAGCAGGGTGCCAAGGCTTTGGGCCATCCTTGACTGCTTTCCCAGGCTGCAAGCAGAGAACTGGATGGGAAGTGGAGCAGTTGGGACCAGAGCTGTGCCCATATGGGATCCACACACAAGCAACATGAGGATTTTAGTCCTTAAGCCATCACACTGGGCCCAAGCTCAAATCTTTCCTTCTGTGCCCAGTAATGAGATTGCTGGATCATATACAAGCTGCAGTTCAAAGACTTACAGAAATCCCCCAGCTGTTATCCCCCATGGCTCTATCATTCCAACCAACAGTGTATACACTTTTCCCTCTCCCCATACCCTTGTCTGCATTTGTTAAA